TAAACATCTGAGTGTCTCATTTGTGTTGCCTGTTGTGGGAAGCGTGGTCCATATGTTCATCCAGCCTGGCATTGTGTATCACCTCAGACTGGAATACACTTGTGCTGTTGTTTGTTTCTCTAAAGAGGATAACATCTGTTAAAAAACACATGTTCTCTGTTAAAGTTAAATTGTTAAGGATTGTCTTTGCTCTGTATAAATACAAGGTTTTCTCTCAGCTCACTTCAAATGGAATTTACTGGCATAGATTACATAAGCAAATCTAAAGATATAAGTATATAAATATATAAACTGAAGCAGATTTAAATATATGGTGTTTTTATTTGAACCATTATTTAGCCAGAGGGGCGAATTAGCCTGCTTTTTCCCAACAAGCAACTTCACGTACAGCTCTCAGCAGTTACAATCATTTACGTATAGCTGCGCTGCTTTTGACCAATGATCTTCCTTAGTGAAGGTGAAACATTATTATTACTTTTGTACCTTCATCCATTCTTTCCTCTCGACTGGCTGTGCTCCATGTAGGATATGTCTCTTGCTGAGCTTTGCTCTGATGATGTTAACATTATAATTATGGCTGTCAGTGGCCCCTAGCTGCTGTGTAATTTGGGTTTCCAGAGGTCGTCCATGATGTCGTCAGATGGCAGTTTCATAGGGGACAAGGAGGGTCAAAAGTTCAATATCTCTTTTAGCTTCTGATAGACGGACTCACACATACCACAGGACATCTTCCCAATAAATTAGTTCTTAAAAAGTTGACAGTTTTTATTTTCCTCAGTAGCAGAAAGCTACTGTACTGGCTGGTTTGGAAGTATGGTCCTGCCTGACGTGTGTCATGTTTTTCATCTAAAACAGGTGTGAGTGAGACTGTGAGCCTCCCCTCAGACAAGCCTAAAACCCCCATGATTATTGAGCCTACAACTGAGCCAATATAGCCTAATATTACTACACCAAATACATCAAAAGGTCTGTCCAGGGAAAGTGGGAACAACAGCAAAAGCTACTATATCTCTGAACTATCTCTTTAATCAAACAACACACATTTTAAAGACACTATGCACGTTTATTTTGTACAGATTTAACAGCGGATGAAATTGAGAAGGATAAAAGAGTGAATAACAAGCAGCAAACATTGTAAGCTGTATCTGTATGATATATGAGCGTGCTTTAAACCATCGTACCACTCTGTGTTTTTTATAATTTCAAAGGAATTTTTAGATCTGATCACAAAGCTGCCATGACATAAAGCAACATCTCTGAGTATATCATATTATTTGACCTACTGAACATTACTGTGTATAATTTAGCTGGAGTCTAGCCAAACTACTGTGCTGTATGAAGGATATGAAAAACAATACAAACCCAATCATTTCCACATGTGCTCAGGCCCAGCGGCTCGACTGAAGATAGTCCAGTTCTGCCAGTAAACTCATCTTGACTCGAACCGAACATTAAAGTCAAAGCAACAAGTGTAACCGTACCCAGATTTGCAAAAACCCAGGTGACCCACTGTCAGCCCCTCGGTACACTCCACCCTCCTGAATTGATTGGATGTGGTCTCTGGCTTAATAGTGTGTATATACACTTCTTAATTTGAAGAGCAAGACTATGATTATGGGTTTGATTCCCGCTGGGGCCACCCATGCTACAAACAAACACATGCAGCCATGGTACTGCTCAGCAAGCTGCTGTGGATGAAAGTCTTCCACCAAATGTGGTGCTCAGAGGTCGATAGGTTTTGCCGGGAAAACCGCTGCGTTCGCCATGCTGTTTGAAGCTTAGGTTTCTATTATGGTGTGTAAAACCCATTCATCTATTTTTACTATCTCTTTCAGTGACCTCCATTGCAAAAGGAAACAGAAATAGAAGGATGCGAGGTCTGTGTAGTGCATCATGTCAGGTTAAAAATGGTCAAAACAGAAATATACTATGTAAAGTGTAATAGATTATCAAGGAAGAACACAAATACAGGTACCAATATACATGAATAGCAGATCAAAGTAGTTTCTAACATAAGCATTTTTCCTCAATCTTTCCTATTGTGTTTTGTGGTTGCAAGTTTTAAGGTAAATGGGCAAAGTTCAAATACACACATGCAGGAAGGAGATCAATGTTGTGTAGCGGGTAAACTGTAGAACAGAGTGGGTGAGTGTTTTGTATTCTGGTGGTAAATGGGGAAAGCCCAGTAACCTCCAACAGTTCTCTTTATGAAGAGCAGCCAGGAGAGGCGACCGCAGAGCACACAGACCAACACTGAGGAGGACGGTAATGGGACATGAAGACAGACAAATATGTACACACACACGCATGTAGCATCAAACACATTCTTGCATGTGTGCAGACCTGCACGCACATTCATGAATGTTTTGTAGTTTGTCCTATGAATTAATCTATTTTGAATATGCACACACAAACATGGTGAAAAGCAGAAAACCACATACACGCATACACGCGCACACAATGCAAGGACAGCCTATTGTTAGTTTGTCCAAGCAGTGAGGATGTATCCCGGCCAACGGGAAAGTCCACAGAGCCAATGGCTGAGGGACTTCAGGGTGGAACGAGCCAGATGTGTGACATCTGGTCTGCATGTGGCCTCGACCAGCTGCATGGCTGCATGTCAAACATGCTCACTAACCGATAACTTAGATTTTAGGTCTGGCCAAAGCTTTTCAGTTCCTGCTCAGGCGATGATACATGGGCTTGTTTTTAAAGCAATAGCTACATATGTCTGTCTCAGGGGCTCGCTAACAGCCACCCACTGTACAGTGTGTCCGTATGAATGGGATGCTTTTTAGGGAGAAAAAAGATATATGGGTGTGGTGTGCTCTTGCTCCACAGTGGTATTAAACTGCTGCAGATTAGGGTTGAATCACATCAGATGCTTTTTAGCTACAAAGCAGCCTACCTTACAGAGCTGCTGACAAGGATATGAGACTGCTGGTGAGGTCAGACACATGGCTGCTCAATTATTGTCTATAATCCTCTGTCATACACTTCATTTAATATGTGCAGAATACTGGCATGACTGAAACATCTGAATTCATTTAAAAGTTTTGAAAAGAATTAAAGGACAATTCCGGCGCA